AATGGAAATGTCTCATCATGAAATGTCTCATCATGAAATACAAGTCACCTGAAATAAATAAATGCGTCATTATGAAATACAAGTCTCTTGAAATAAATAAATGTGTCATTATGAAATACAAGTCTCTTGAAATAAATAAATGTGTCATTATGAAATAAAAGTCTCTTGAAATAAATGTCTCATTATGAAATAAAAGTCCCATGAAATAAATAAATGTGTATTTAAATGTACATGTATACATATTTATTGCCTCATTTATTTATTTCATAGGCATATTTATATATATATGTATTTATTTAATTATTGATGTATTTATTTAATTTTGGCTTAAATGGCATTCCATATATCATAGCCATAAGCTTTTTATTTAAATCAAATAGGTTTGAATGTATATGTACAATGTTTTCCAGTGAATATGACCTCTGTAAGCTTCTTTGCACTACGCTGACCACTCATTCAGCTGAATGTCACTTCAGATCATTCCATTGTGTTCACTACTTACAATGTGGATACAATGCATGCAAGAAGATACCATTATCTTTGAAGTTATTGACCAACCAAAGTAACTTCTTATTAATCCTCTGCTTGCTAATTGGTATTCACTGTCACCATGATATTGTGTCCTGGTTGCTAATATATATATAAGATGTTAGTCACTATTGAACACCACAGATGGTGTAGCTTCATACAGGGCAGTTCCAGCAGGGGGCAGCAGTGAGGTGGAAGTATGGTTGACTCGAGGCAAGAAACAGAGAGACAGTCAGATATGTTCTACAACCTTTAATGAGCGATTCAGTTTGCTTTGTGATGCCTACATATTAGCCTGCAGTTGATCAGAATAGAAAACAATAAGGATTATGTCTTTTTTTTGTCATTTCAGATGCAATCAGAATGCTCATACATAAAAGAACAAATATAAAATGCTAATAAACATCTGGAACATGTCTTTGTGGCTGGTTTTGAGTGTAACCCAGTGTCATTCAGCACACACACACACTTCCTGTTTCAAATCACTTTTTTCCAACTTGAGGTATTAGAAAAGTTTATATTTCAGATGAATTCAGATTCAAGCGTGTTTCCTGTTACAGTATCAGAAGAGCTCTGAATCTTGTATAAACTATCAGACGGAATGATTTCCCAGCTGTCTGGAATCTTCCACCTCTGTGAGGATCAAATACCCGTCCAGAGGAACATCTTTAACAGTGTGGTGTGTTCCAGTGTTTGAAGAATGACAGCATACAGATGACAGCATGGCTGTGGCTGGAGACACCCTCCCACACACACAGGCCATGGTACCAGCTGGTGACGACAACAAACAACAACAATGAGCTCTCATTGGCTTTGGCACCTCGGAACAGAGGAGGAATGTTTGAGTGGAGGAGCAGCTGCACCTCAGATCTCACATCTCTTTCTAAAACCCAAATCATCCCTACATACATCTTTACACTTAACATCACAACTTCATTAGGAATACCCCAAAACTATACACATATTTCCAGTCTTCCTCTTCCTCCTGACCTCCTCTCGCTTTACTTCCTGGTTACCACCCTAACAATCTGTCCTTCACTTCCATGTTCCCAACTCACTGCAGTCAAACTATGTATTCTTTCATCACACTGGAAACAGCTCGTTTTAAATAACACCTTCATCATCCTCTCACACTTCCTAATAAGACACGTGAGCACATTATTTACATAAAAATATGAGTCCAGCACATAAATAATAATAGGCCTATAAGAATAACATTAAGAAAACAAAGTGAGCAGAAAGAGCAGCATGCCCTGAGATGAGTGCACAGGAACACATTGAGCGCTGGCTTCATGAAGGAAAGTGAATGGCTTGGAGGGGCTGAAGAACACAGCTTCAGTAACGGCTGGCCTTTGGGCTCATCACTTGAATACGTGTGCTGATGAGGTAAGTGCTGAAGTGGCGTGTCTCCGGCTAACAGAGAGGAACTTGGCAGCTGAGGAAGTGATGTGAGTATGTGCGGGCGTGGTGTGTGAACGGCTGCATGACTCACTGCTCTCTCAGCCGCTACAGTTTGAACTTTCTATGTCAGGATAAACAGGAATGCTGAGTCATTATTGCTCATGATCAGCCCTTCTTTGAAGCAGTAAAAAAGTGTATTTCAAGTGGAAGCCGTTCAGGTCTTTGGGAGGGACCGATGCTATTGTTGGACTTAATAATAATAATGAGTTTGATCTACAAACCTGAGCTTCATTTCAACCCAAACATATGGAATGTAATGCATGCGTGTTATCCAGCCCCTCTGCTGGTTCTGTTTAAAGTCCAAGCAGCTTCAAAACAGAGTGTATTCATCGACAGCAGCGTGTTTTAGGGACTTGAATCACATGTAACCAAAGTCAAAGGGCTTCCTATAATGCAGCGGTACATAAAGATAAGGTCAGCCTTCCCCTTTACACTGGTGCTTATCTGAATATCACCTTTCTGCTTAAGCTGCAGTGACTAAGAACACTTTTCACTTCCCACTTTAAGGCAGAGCGCTATTAAATGCTTTCTGAAGAAAATAGATTTGAAAATGCACGACATAAGAGTTGCATAGATTTCCCTAGAAACAGTCCCCACTAGCCCCCATCAGCACAGGAGCAGCCAGACACTGACACAGAGGGGGCTGACAACAGCTAAATTATTATTAGGAAAGGTTTGAAATACTTAAGGTTAAACAAACAGCATTCATTGAAACCTTCTGTACAATTGTCACACTTTTTATCAGTGATGGATCAGTGATGGATCAGTGATGGATCTCAAGATGTAGCTGGTTATCTTTGGTCTGAAAGGTCCATCATGGAATTGAGCTATTAGTGAAATATAAACACAATTTAAGTACTTTAAATGGTGACAGACAGCTGGTTTTCTGGAGGTTTAAAATGATTTAAAAGCTCACAGGAAGAGGCCCCCGCCTGCATTCCTCCTTTTTCCACCTTTTACTTTTCAAAAGTCACCGTCTCCAGCGGCGGGCCTTTCCTCGTCGAAGCGAAACTTTTTAGCGTGCGAGTGGGGCGACTCCAGGAAGTTCTCCTTGTCCTCAGGGTCTTCGGCTGGGGCCCCCCACTTGGTGCCGCAGCTTCTCTCCCGAACAGAGCGGGTGGATGCAGGCTCGGGGCTCAGACACAGCTGCCACAGCCAGGGGTGGCTCATACACTCTGCAGCGGTGGGCCTGTCCCTGGGGGGGGGGGGGGGACAAACAGTCACCTTCAGTACAGGGTTAGTTATTCAGTTAGTTATAGAAAACATTAAATGCCACTAAAGACATGACCAAGAGAAAGTAAAGAGAAATATTTTATGTTGTTTATGTTTGTATGTTTTCTCCACAACATGTAGCAGGTCCATAGGAACAGAAAGACTTAGATGTGCTTTATTTACTTTCATTTGGTAGTGTTCATTTGTCAAAGCAAAGTCAATAAATCGGTTGTTAAAGGAGACGATGAGGAGAAAGCACCATGTAACACCAACACCTGCAGTATGTTCAAAGTGACACCAAGGGACCGAAGGACCTGGAGAACCACGTTCAAGGTAGAGGGTATCTTTTTGCATTATTGGGCAAGAATCCCTTAATACCCTCTCAGTTTAACTTGGATGTTACCCTTGGGTATTTTTCCATCTTGTGGAAAATGCCCTCATCTTTGTGTCTGAGCTCACTCACTCGGGTGTTTTGACCAGCAGCTTGCGGATGAAGTCCACAGCGAGCTCGGACACTCTGGAGAAGGCCTCCATGCTGTAGTCCACGTTCACCTGTGACACGTTCAGGTACGTCTCCTGCTTGTCGTCACCGACAAACGGAGACTCGCCCGTCACCAGCATGTAGGTGATCACCCCCACACTCCTGAGGAACACATGGAGAAGAGTCAGAGCATGTGGAGGAGCTGTGGCTCATTCACTCCTATTAGCTTTAGCAGAGCTACTTAGAGGTGTGTGGTTTTATACTGTAATGGATAACCTTCATTTTAGTTTGAAGACATTTGGTTGAAAGGTAAAATGATGGCATTTCATTAGTCACAAAGTGTCAGCCACTCACCACAGGTCGGTGGCTGTTGTGATGGGCTCATAGTTCAGGATCTCTGGAGCTGAATAAAGACATGAAGCAAAAAGTCTGACGTCATTCAATATTACAAGAATGTCTCCTGTTTGTAATATCTCGTTTCATTTCATAGCCGCTGTTGTTTTTGTCACCACTACTGACGTCTTATATTTCTGTTGTGTCTTTGTTGTTATTCAAAACAACAATTAAAGTCACAAAGGGCTGAATGAGTGAAATCTACATGGGAAAAAAATAGTCCTCTGGAGGGCGCTCTTCCGGTCTGAGCGTGTTCACCATCATCAGCTTACCCACATACTCCGGCGTTCCCAGGATCTCTCTGAGCTCTCCGACCGCTCCCAGCCTGCGGGCCAGGCCGAAGTCTACGATCTTTATGTCGCCCGGAGGAGAGAGGCAGGTCAGCAAGATGTTCTGCGGCTGAGGGAGAACGAGGTGCAGAGGTGAACAGCATGCAGAGCAGCAGCCGGAGATAACACCGTCTTTACATAACAGAGTATAACTCTTTGAACCTGTACTCAGTAACGTGTGTTTACCGTTCTGAACATTATTTATACAAGTGCTGAGAACACACTGACCATATGACACTGTGTCAACACTGAACATCAATGAAAGCTAATTCCACATTCAGTATGAGCTTTATGAGTGGACAATATGACTGGAGAGATTTGTGATTGCTGCGATGTAGCCGCACTGCGATCGACCTATTGGGCGCCCCTGCTCTACAACCATTACTCCTGAAGACATTATCACTTCATTCGGTCACAACACCTTGAGTTGACAGATCTTTGACTTGTAGTGACAGTCATTTCATACGTCAAGAGTCTCCATGTACTTCCTAGAGTTTCATATTTGTATGGGTAGATTTGAAAACAAATGCATTAACCCTTATGACAAACGCAGAAACTGAT